GACACTCCAGTGAGCACCCTAAAGTGCCCCCTACCCCAGGCATTCCCATCAGCTCCCAGATTTCTTGTGGCGTTATAAGGGCCCCCAGCCCCAGGGGTGGATGGGGAGAGTGATGTATCCCCAAAATGGGAATGGATGCTCACTGGACACAGCCTGGTGGCACTTACCCCCTGGTAGATATCCACAGAGACTGTCTCGTTGTTGGTGGGGAAGATGCCGGCATAGTGACTGATGCTGCCGTTGGTGCACTTGTTGTGCTGTAAGGCATGGCAGGCACGAGTGTGACAGCCACCCAGCAGCTCCCCCAGGCACAGGGGATCCCCACACATCCCCTCTCAGGGAATGAGAACGTGCAGTCCCCAGGGGATGCTCATCCCACCCACGATCACAGCTGGGCACCGCCGTCACCTCCCTGTGGCCGTGAGGTGACACTCACCACATCCTCGTTGCGCTGGTGGTAGAAAGCCTCGCCGAAGACAGCCATGATGAAGAGGTTGATGAGGAAGGAGACAAAGAGGGCCAGGCAGGACTCGGTCAGGAAATACATATTGGCCTCCTGCACTGCCTCCTTCTTGGATCGGTCGATCGCCCGTGTCTGGGCATGGCCAGTGGCATGAGTGTCACGGGGTCACGTGAGCACCCCGTCCCACAGCCAGGACCATGTTGTCCCCACCAAGTGTACCCTGAGGCACCCTGGCAAAACAGTGCCCATGGCAGTGCCTTGATCTCACCTTGACCAAGGAGGAGTGGAGGAAGATGTTATGGGGCATAATGATGGCGCCGATGATGCCCATGGCCTGCAGCAGCTCCTTTCGCCCGCAGCCCGGGCAGCTGGGCAGGAAAATGCCCTTCAGCACCTCCACCTGCCTTGGCCTCACCACCACGTACTGGGAAGCAGTGAGAAGGGGCTCACTGTGAGCTGCCACCCCCCCACCACAGGCCGGTAGCAGTGGGGACACCGCATGGCAGGGTCCCTTGCCAGCCTTGCAGGAAAAGGGTTGTCCCCAGCTCCCCATTCACCTCGTAGCCAAAGGTCAGGGCCATGATAGTGATGAGGAGGCCGAAGAAAGCCTCCAGCTTGCGGAGCCCTAGAGAGGTCAGGAGATGGGGTGGAACAGAGCAGGGCACAGTGGTGCCACGTGGGTGACAGTGCCCCCAGCCCTCATCCTGGCACTCACCGTACTTGTCAAGGAAGAGGAAGAAGAGGGTGTCCACGATGGTGATGAGGACCCCACCCCAGAGGGGGATGCTGCAGGATGGCCAGGGGCAGGATTAGATACACGGCCCTCTGTGGAGCAGGGCTGTGGGGAGGCTGGGGGTGCCCGTGGGGAGGCTCACCGGCCAGCTGAGAGCAGGCTGAAAGCAATGGCTGTCCCGATCACCTCCTGCATGTCGGAGCCGATGATGGCCATCTCAATCATGAGCCAGAGCAGCACGCGGGGCACCTGCAGGGCACAGGGCACCGTGAGGTGGCACGTAGCTCTGGGCAAGCCAGCACAGCATCCTGGGTGCAAATCCCTGTGTCCAGGCTGTAGCAGGCCACCTAGAGCAGCCTGGGGACCCCGTAAGACCCCTCTCAGCTTCTTTCACAACACAATCTCAGGATGAAAGATGGATGCTAAATCCAAGCCTGTTCCCCCACACTCCTCATCCCTGCCCCAGTGAGAGTCGAGGATAGGACCCGTCTGTCTAGATGGGGGGGTTTGAGGGAGGTGGGGCAGAGGGATGCATCCAACACTCCTTTTGGGGACCAGTCATTCAGCCAGCATCTCCTTGTTGTTCCCCCCATCAGGGTCTTGACGCTTAGATGGGTCTCCTAACTCCCCCCTCCTCTGTCATATGATCCCTCCTCTCGATCCCTTTCTGCCCCAACATGCACAGGCTTTCCAGCATCTCGGCTTCACGTTGCTGCCCCGACGCCTGGGCTCACTCCCGCGGGGGACGCTCTCGTGTGTCTCCAGGTCACACCGGGACACTGAAGCAGCTGCTTACCGCCTCTCACCCTGGGGTACTGCAGGGGTGTGGGCACTAGGTGGGGGTCACCGGGGCTTGGGGGACTTTGGGGACCCCCTGAGAGAGGCAGGTGTCTCACAGCATCTTCCTGCTCCTCTCCAGCCCTGCAAGGCCCTGCTAGGACTGTCACCAGCACAGGGTCCCAGACTGTCACCCGCTGGGGCCCCCCCGTGGTTGCTCACCTTGGGGTAATAGAGGTAGCAAATCTCGCCCAGGTCCTTCCCGGTCACCACGCCTAGGCGGATGGCGAGGCGCTGGCACAGCAGCCCCAGGACGGTGGCCCACAGCAGCACCCACAGCAGCTGGGGGGCAGGAGGGAGGGAGGCAGCAGCAATGGGTACTGGGAAGCATCCAGCCGCCCGGGGGTCCCCAGTTCAACCAGGGTTGCAGGGAAGAGAGGGGGTGCAGGTGCTCTCCCAGCCCGGGCAGAGGGGTGGCACCCCTGGGTGTCCTCACCCTGTGCCGAGGGCCCCCGTGCCCCTCCTGCTCCCGGGCTGGGAAGGCAGCTGCCAAGGGCAGCCGTTGGCGCTGGAGAGGTTACGAAACCCCTGCCTGCTTCCTGAGCCGGGGCCGGGCTCACCTTGAATCCCGCCAGTGCCCCGCTCTGCAGGTCGGACTCCACGTTGCCTGGGTCCAAGTAGGCGATGCTCATGAGGAAGCCGGGACCGGTGAAAGCCCAGAGTTTCCTAAAGCTGAATCCGGGCTGGGACAAGGCAGCAGGTCAGAGCCAGAGCTCCGTTCTAAACCAGTGTCTCCTGATTGCATATCCAGCCCCCTTTAGTCCGGTGCTGCCCGCATGGATGTGTTTACCACCCGGAGATAATTTTCCTGACAGTTTTGGAGAGGGAACTGCTGTCCCCAGCCTCTCCCTGTTAGCACCAGTGCTGGAGGGGCAGTGAGCCCCATCTGACCCATTGGACAATGATTTGCAGGGAGGTCCCAGGGCTGTCAGGCACTATTAATTGCATCCCATGGGATTCCACTGCTGTCCTTTGCTTTTGCTACTCCTCCCGACTAGGGAGTACTATTCCTTCCTCTTCTCTGTTCCACTGCCCCGAGACCAGACAAGGATGGGGGGGAGGGGGCTGGTGGGGTGCAGGCAGCCTTGGGGAGCCCCACTGGGCTCATCCATGGGTGGCCCAAGAGGTGGTGTGTGAGCAGTGGGGTGATCCTTGGCTGGGGAGCGCCTTGCCCCGTTGTTTCAGTTTCTCCATCTGGAACACTTTAACCATTGAAACACTCTACCTGTGACTTGCCTGAGCTGGGTCTGGGGAGCTGGGGGCATGTCCCCAGGGCATGACCAAGACACATGTTCCCCACTGCAGTGGCCCTTTGCCTCCCCACCTCCAGCTCCCTGCAGCACTGTCCCACTCCCCCGCCCTCTCTGAAAGACCCTTGCAGCACCTACCCCACTGCCCTTGGGGATGCTGATGAGCTCTTCCAGGTAGCTCTGGTCCTGAGTGCCAGGGCGCTGTGGGGGCATGGGGCCCCCATTCAGGGACCTGGTGAGGCCTGAGGGGGACAAGGAAGAGGAAGGGAGGTGGCAGCCTGCCAGGGGGACAAGGACACTGGTGGGCTGGCAGCCCTGGTACCAGCTTCCTTCAGTCCCACCTGACCCTGCCTGATGAACCCCATCAGGGAAAAGCACCAGTTTTCCGGGGGGGGGGGGGGGGGGGCATGAGGATGGCTATATGGGATCTATCAAAAGCTACCCAAAAGGATCGGATGCCACCTCCAGCTTAGGTGTCCCTAAAACCCCTGGACTGAGCCCCGTCTTCAGCAGTCCAAGAGCCAAGTGCATTTCTGGGCAGCAGGGACAGGAGGAAACCCTGCCCCAGCTCCTGCTGCTGGATGGGCATAGACAGAGGACAAGGTGGTACGGGTCCTAATCCCCCCTTTGCAGCCCACCTACATCCTGGGAATTTGTTGAATCACATTCCCAGGCTCGAGGATGGGACAGATGGGGAATCCAGGACAGGCTGGGGGTGATGGTGCCCACTGAAAGATGGAGCACAGCCAGGGGTCCCAGGGTGGAGGGAAGGGGGTCTAGGGGATGAAAGGAGGCACAAGGAGACCCAAGAAGTGTTGTGAGGCTCACCTGGTTCCAGTGATGCCATGGGTGGACCCGATCCAGCCACAGTGCCGGGGCTTCCTGAATTCAGCTCCGAGTGCAGTGCCCGCTGCCCAGCTTTTAAAGGACCCCCCCGCAGTTGTGTCATCCCCTCCTCAGGAGGAGAGGAGGAGGGTAGGAGAAGGAAGTGCTCCTTCCCTACCCTTATGAGCACACACAGTCTCGGTTCCCCCGCTCCTGCAGTGCCAGGAGGCCCCTTCCCTCCCCTCTGCCTCACACACGTGCGAACACGAGGCACCCTCACCGGGCCGTGGGAGTGTGTCTGCCTGTCATTCCCCATCACATGCCAAAGGTTCTGCTTGGGTGACTGTGGGGACAGGGGACAGTGTCCCACAGAGTGAGAAGGGAGGGCTGGTCCCACGGAAGTAGGGGAAATGCCATAGAAGTGGGAGCGAGGAGGAAGCAGGCACGTGTTGCATAAGGAGATCAAAATGCAGCCTTAGCTGCTGGGGGAAGCACCCAGCCAGGCAGGCTCTGTGGCACAGGGTGCTCTCATCACCCTCGCTGCAGGGACCTTCACCCCAAGCATGGCGTGCCAGTGTTGTAGTGTCAAGCTGTGCCAACAAAAGTGGGTACCCTTCTGCCAGCCGGGCTGTGTCCCACAGGGAGATGGGCAAGGGGTGTCCCCCAGGAACATGTGGGATGGTGGCAGGCACAGGGATGTGAGCCTGGTCCTGCTCCACAGTATGCCCCAGGCACCCCCAGCCCCTAAGCAAGGGCTGGAACAGGTGGGATAGGGACAGGGTCCCACCCAGAAGGCATTGTGGGGCTTCAGCACACAGCTCAGCTCCACCTGCCCTCCCTGAGCCTCAGTTTCCCCAAAGCAAACAAGACTGGACAGGCAGTGCTGGCTGCTTTATTTGCTGTTAGCTGGAGGGTGGCCAGTGGGGGAGTTGGGGAGGGGGCTGGCGGCTCCAGTGGAGGCAAAGGGGGTCCCAATGGGCCGCTGGTGGGCGAAGAATTCCGCGGCAAAGGAGATGGTGTCGTGTGGCTGCTGGAGGAGCAATGCCTGGAGGAAGTCAGACAGCAGTGCCCGGACTTCGGGATGCTGCTGGAGGTAGGCAGCATGGGATAGTTGCAGCTCATCCTGCAGTGGGGTGGACAGGATGGGTGGGGTGGGCGTGAACACACATGTCCCCCCTGGGCACTGTGCCAGGGTGAGGGGGACAAGAGCCGGGGTCCTTTCCCACACTTAAGAAGGTGTGAAGAAGGATGTTGGTCGGCCTGCCCCCTCAATGTCCCTCCTGGGCACACCAGGGGAAACCCTGCTGGAGACTGGCACAGCCCCATGTCCCTTGTCCCCATGTCTACCCATCTTACCTTCCTGTCCAGGAAATGGGAGTAGAGCTCCTTGTCCTCCTCCCAGTCCAGGGGCTCTTTGGGGAAGGGGAGCTGGGGCTCAAACCTACCTGGCAGCAGAAAGGCAGGGCAGGGTGTTCCCCCTGGTGTTCCAGACAGCGGGCAGGGGCTGCCTGTGCTGGGGGGGCATGCCCTCCCCTGCTCAGTACCTGACTTGCTGAGGATGGACTCGTCCTGTAGAAGCATCAGCACGGGGGAGCCAATCTGCACCAGCTGAGCCAGACGCCTGAGAGGGGAAGAAGAGCCCTTGGCCTTCCCATGCTGGGTCCCTCTGGAGTGGCAGGGCTGGGTGCCTCCGGCCCTTACCCGTTGGGCAGGAAGCTGCTGTGCCACAGTGTGGGGGCACCTGTGCTGGCGTGCAGGGCTCTCTGGATCACAAACACCTCTGTCTCTGCCGAGCCCACCGCCTGCCGCTGGATGCCCAGGGCACGCTGGGGCGGTACAGCCGGGGCTCAGCCTTGTCGCAGAGTCACCCCTGCCCCACTGCCATCCCCACGTGTCCCGCCATGCTGTCAGCCACTCTGCCCACTCCCACTTCCCACATCCCACCCCGGTATCCGCAGCCCCACCCACGGGCCCTCCTGGCAGGCGCTCACATAGCGGGAGGTGCAGAGGTCGCCCTCGCTGTTGATGGCTGGGAAGACGAGGTCGGGGGGCACTGTCTGCCGGCGTGCCAGCACCCGCAGCAGCAGCAGGCTGGCCCCCTCCAGCAGCCGCGCCCGCAGCTCGGCCCGCCTGTACGAGAAGCTGTGGCACTGTGGCTCTGCCTGCAGAGAGACCTGGCACCTCATGGGACAGCCACAGCTCCAGCGTCCCCAGGGACAGCGACCCCCGGAGCCTGGGCACCCCTGGTGAGAGCTGTGCTGCCCCTGCCAGGGTGTGACCCTGCTCTCAACCTCACCTCTCCCTCCTGCAGCATCTTCGTGACCGTCATCCCGTGCTCGTGGCTCACGATGTGGGTCGTCTTCTCGGTGGGGTGGGGTCTGAGCTGCGGGAGGGGTGGGAGGCACGGGGTGGAGGGCAGAGCCAGGGCACCCTCCTCTGAGGTGGCACCCCCAGCACCGCTGCCAGTCGGGGTACCAGATGCATTCCAGATGCATTGTGGGAAACTCCCCACCCCAGCTGCCACCCAGAGGAGGGGATGGGGACCAGGCTGGTGGGACAGAGCTGGAGTTTGAGCGTGACAAGGGACACCAGACTACCCACAGCAGCCTTGCAGGGGACAGCCCCCAGGAGGGCACCACTGCAGGGCACAGCCCAGGGCAGCGGGTAGGACACAGGGAAGAGGACATGCCACCACCATATCAGTCACCTCCAGGCACTCCTGCTCCTCCTGCTCCAGCGTCTCCAGCTGCCAGGTCACATAGGCTGGCAGAGCAAAGCCATGCTCAACCAATCCTGTTGGCACTGTCCCCATTCCCAGCCCTGGGGGCTGGTGGACAGGGATGTTCCAGCCCTGGGGAAGAAGGAACCCCCCCAAAAGCCACCCTGGCTCACCTTTGAGGGTGCTGGAGGCAGGCACACCGTCCTGCTTGCCTCGGAACCTGGTCTGCACCAGGATGCAGCTCTGCACCGGCTCACCTTCCCGGTGGTAGGGTGCCCACTGGGCTGCCATCCACCACTGGCCCTCTGCCTTGTGCCTTGGTGGGGCCCCCACGGCCACCACTGCCAGCGTCTCAGCAAACAGGCACCACTCCAGCTCCTTCAGCGCTGCACAGAGGGATGGTGACCCCAACACAGAGGGACAGTGACCGCGAGGAGATGGTCGCTCTGGTCACTCCCTCCCGAAGTGACTGTCGCCCCTGCCCAGTGCCCCTTCCTGTCTCCATGCCCCCCGCAGGCTGGGCCGGGCCCCTCGCCATTTACCCCTCTCAATCCCTCACTCTCCGGCCCGGTGCCCCTCCCTCGCAGCGGGCACGGTGTGGCAGGACAGGGGGGAGGCTGGAGGAGGAGGAGGCACGCACCGATGAGGCTCAGGAACTCGGCAGCAGCGTCCGCCATGCTCGCGGTGTCCTGCGCGCTCCCGGGAAGGGGCTCCATGCCTCGCCTGGGGGCTCCTGCGGCCGGACCCTGGGGTGAGGGGCGGCGGGGCTCCCCCGAACCGCGGTCCCCGCCCCACGCGTGACCCGGGGGGGCAGGGACACCCCCCGGCCTCTGCAGCCCCCAGCCCCCGCCGCCCCCCCCGCCGTGCCGGACCCGGCCCGGTGCCCCGACGCCTCCCGTCTCCCGGCAACGCCCTGGCCCCGCCTCTTAAAGGGGCCGCGCCCCGCCCACGAGAGAGAAAGGGACGAACAGGTGTAAAACCGATCCAGTCTTTTATTTGGGGCGTGGGGGTGATTGTGGCTCCGATGCCCAGTGAAGCAGCACCCCCCACACCCCAGCAGTGCGATCCTATGGCCCCGTCCCAGTGTGTGTGCGTGTGTGCGTGTGCGTGTATGTACAGGGGGGCTCCGGCGTCAAGGATGGGGTGCTGCAGAGGAGCCCCTTGCCTGGAGGTAGTACTGCCGGCCCGCCTCCCCTTGCTGGCTCCATCCCAGCCCCCACAAAGGAGATGCACAACACTGGGAGCTTAAGGGGAGGGGGCTGAGTGGTGGTGGTGGTGGAGGGGAAATTGGAGACTCCCAGAAAAACGGGGGAGTGGGGAGTGGAGGGGGGTTGTAGGAGAAGCCCTTGGTGCCATTCCTATAGCCCCAGCAGTGAGGTGGGGGGCTACAGACCCCCCAAGAGGGGATTGAGGTGCTGCTACGTGACAGCTGGTGACCCCCAAGTTCGAGGGAGCAAAGGCAAGGATCACTTATGGGGTGGCCACTTAAGGGGGTGTCCACTCTTCCCCCTCCCCCTACCCTGCACCCCAGGAGGGAGATTCACAGCAAAACAAACCACACAGTCTTGGGCTCAACCATCACCCGGCCCCATGGAAAGGGGGGACCCGGGCAGTGGGGGAGATCTAGGTGGCCTGGTAGAGGTCCTTGCGCCTCCGCACCTCCTTGAGGACACGGGCACGAAAGGCATCAGGGTCCTCCCCCCTGTCCTGCCACATTCCCAGTGCCTCCTGCAGCTCCGGCCGGTGCGTCCGCAGGAAGGGGTTGTAGGTCTGCTCTTCCCCCAGCGTGGAGGGGCACTGTGGGGGCAGCTGCTCAGCTCCCCTGCTGGAGGCAGCACCCCAGCAGGGAGCTGGGAATGCCCTCAGAGCCCCCTGCCCCTATGGCACCCACCATGCAAGAGGGTGTTGGGGTGCAGCATCCCTGCCAAGGGAATCCCGTGAGGGGTTGGGGTGGTGGGTGCTGCACGCAGGGACCCCCATGCCTCACCGTGCTCCTCTTCTCCTGGCGCTGCTGCACTGCCCACTGCAGCTTCTCCTCCAGCGCGGAATTGTCCAGCTCCAGGAGGGTGGCGAAGGTCAGGCACTCCAGTGCGTATTCGTGGCCTGTGGACCCCCATGTGCAGCCCTTAGCATCACCCCCACCCAGCTCTCCCCCTTGGCAGTGGGACTAGGGGGACACCAGCAGCTCTGCCCTGCTGTTGGGGACACTCACCTGGCCAAAGCAGCGTGTCCTCGCCCAAGCCCATGGCCAGGTCCAGGGAGGCGAGCATGGTCTCAGGGGAGCCCTCAAACGGCCTGCCTGGACCCCCACACAACTGCCTGTCATGGGGGGTCTGGGGGGTACCCCTAAGGATGGGATGGGATAACCCCCCCAGCCCCTCTCTGGGGCTGGGTGCACTCACCACAGCCAGCAAGGAAGAGGAGGTCCCCGGAGAAGAGGCAGGGGGGGCTGCCGAAGGGGCCCCCGTCCAGCACATAGACCATGTGGCCCACGGTGTGGCCAGGCGTGGCAAGCGCCTCGAAGGTCAGGCAGCCCACGGTCACCTTCTCCCTGTCTGCAAGCGGGCTGTGCCGGGAACAGGGGCAGCGTCAGGGTGCTCCCCCAGCCCCTCAAAATACACCCCTCCCATGGCACACTGGTGTCAGGAGCGTGCCAGGTCTCTGCCCAGCATGGAACTGGTGGCTGAGTGCTGCAGACAGTGGTGGTTGGGAATGAAGCTCTCCCCAAATTTACAGGGGTGCTAGGGAGGTGCAGGACTTACTTGGTGAGCCGTGGGATGGCATCGAGAGCGCTGCCATACACCCTGCAGGAGCTGTGCTTCTGGCAGAGAGCCTCATTCCCTCCGCTGTGGTCCCTGCAGACAGGGAGGTCAGAGACCCTAAGTGTACCCCCAATACTCCCCCCACTAAATGGGGCAGGGCTGGGGGTCACCTCAGGTGGGGCTGTCTTCACAGCAGCTACCAACCCTTCCAGGGCCACCTCTTGCCCCTCACCAGTGTTTGTGTGTGCAGAATATGGCCTCCAGCATCACCCCCTCTTCTTCGATGGCAGCCTGGGGAGGAAATATGGACAGAGAGATTAGGGGGGACAGGACCAGCTTTCCCTTCAACCCTGTCTCCCCCAGCTCCAGTCTCGCCTTGGGCACTAAGGGCTGCATATTAGGTGCATATTTGCTCCCCTCTAAGGCCAAAATACAGAGACGTGCCACCCCCTCACCTGGAGACAGGCAAACACCAGGTCAGAGTGGTTGTGGGGGTCTCACCTGTACAGCCAGCGGGTCAGAGGGGTCGATGACAGCCGCTTGGCTGGAGCCAGTGTCGATGACCAGGTAGCTGTAGTTGTTGGAGAGTACGGGAATGGGCAGGATTTTCACCCCTGTGGGGGGAAGAGACAGAATCAGGGCATGATCCCCTCAGCTGGAAAAGGGGGAGTCCAGGCCAAACTCCCCACATGCTTTGGGCAATTTGGTGATGGCAACCCCCTCCCCAGCGCACAGTGCCAGTGCTGGGGGGCACTGCAGGGCCGAGGTGTGCCAGGGGCTCAGCACTCACCAGGGAAGCAGTAGGGCTGGGGCACGGAGTGGCCGTGCGGGTACCGCTCCCGGGCCTTCTTCACCTGCCGCTGGTAGAAGAGGTATCCCAGGCGTGTGCGGGCGTACAGGCTGTACCTAGGGAGGGCAGACACCCCTAGGCATTAAAATCCCAGTTCCCCTAAGGAGCCCACTTGGGAAGGGGGCTACTGCTGGGGCTGTGACTCTCACAGGGAACACATACAGGGCCACTTCTCACTCGGGGGCACTACAGGCGGTGTGTGTGTACCCCACAGCCCAGGTGTGTAGTGAGGGCAGGAGTGATTCCCCGAGCAGGCATCCTCCAGCTCCTTCGAGCAGCAAGGACTGGGGGGGCATTGCTGCGGGGTGCTCACCGGGAGAGGCTGGAGCTGGCTGTTCCTCCCCATGCTCTGATGGGGGAACATGCCCAAGCTTGCTATGGTCCGGGGAATCAGAAAAGAGAATGGGCCGAGGAAAAGGGAGGCAAGAAATGGCCCCGTGCATGTGAGGGTGCAAAGGCTGCGGGGCTCGGAAGGACCTCCCCGTTTGCACAGCAGCAATTTGGGACGGGACGGGGAATGGTGCAATGAGGGACATGCAAAGACCCAGGTTGCAAAGTCCATTCCCGGCCGAGGGCACCCCTGGATGGCACACCGGGAGCGATCCCTGCAGCAGCTGTGGGAGCCCGAAACCGTGGAGCAGGGGCTCCTGCCAGCACCGGGCAGCGTGACCACGGCCGGGGCACCGGGGCAGGTCAGCGGTGACAGCCGAGAGAAGGCGCCCGCACGGGTGACCGGCACGGCGCGGGGAGGGCCGGTGGCTGATCCCCGGCCCCGGCGGCCGGGCTGGCACCGCCCGCCCCCGCTCCCCCGCCCGGAGCGCGCTGAGCCCCAGCCCGGTCTCTCCGTGCCGCCGCGGCCGCACGTTCCTCCCCGGGCGGCTCCGCACGAGCAGGGGAGGGTGCTGCTGGGCCCTCCCTCCCGGCGGCAGCACAAAGGCGGGCGGTGGCGGCTGCCTCGCTGCGGGGGTCCCGCAGCGGCGACCGCTCCCTCTTCGGCTCGCTCGCTCACTCACCCCAGGCGGAACAGCAGCGGGGCGGCGAAGGCCATGAGCGCGGCGGCGGCGCGGCGGAGGAGGCGCAGGCAGGCGGCCCCGAGCCCGCGCACCCCG